GGGAGCAGTATCGTCGGCTTCCGGAGGCAATCCCTGATTCGGCGGCTGGTCCGATGCACGGGAGTGTTGACTGGCACTGGACTCGTATCGCGGCTTCCTGGGGGGGTCTGTAGCATCCGTGAGACTACCCAGCACTTCCACCAGTTGTCACGATGAGTCACAAGTACTGGGGGATTTAATAAAGCACCAGGTAGCTAGCACTAGGACGATGCGTCAGTCGTGGCTGGCTCTCGAGCAAAGAAGAACGCGATCTTCTTTTTTCCTCCAGATTTAGAGCCGCTCTTGCTGTCAACCCACTACGTGCTGGCGGCAATATATATATGGTGAGTGACAGCAACGCTGGCAGCAAAACCCTTCCAAGAGTGTCCATATAATTGTGATTGCAATATAAATTCAAACACATTTACCTTGCATCCGTATGCTTCACCTAACAACGATTTCCAAGGCACGCGGCGTCGGCCGAAATTTCATCTTTTTAGCAAGTCGATTTGGGCTAGCTGGTATGACATGACGATTTTTATAGCGCGAGGACAGAACGATGACAAAAGTGCGAATCATGTTCTTCTTGTCCGTTTGTCGTCGTTCTCTTCTCGTGCTCTAAAAATTGTCACGTTTTATCTTTTTCCTGTGAATGTCGTCGTTTCGCGAATTCGAACTCACGTACCGGCGTTCTTGTTCTCATATTCTATCTTACTGTACATCTAGGCTCTATACGTACCTTGTTTGTGCGTGCACATCTCGCACGAAGAAGGCGCAGGTATAATTCTATGGTCAAGAATAAAAAAAATGCGGCAGATTCTCTTGTCAACAATAGTACCATCTGAGCAACCAACAAATTGTAACGCCACGCAAAAAATGGCAAGCAGCTCTGATATTTCCACCCGCTTCCCAATAAAAGACGATGCGCGAAAGGAACGTATGCGGCATGAGTCAAAACCAACAACTGTTACTGCTTGACATTTAAGCGCATTGCTAAAAGCAAGACGCGCGAAGCCAGTGCACAAGTGTACACAAGAAGAGCGTGCATGCGGCTAACCGTTGCAGTCAACTTCATATGGGCGGCCTACTCCTTTTGAAGAGCGACTGCTGCGATGAGCGAAGGAACCATTGGGCTCTCTCTAACTTGTGGTGAGAGCCCAAGGCATAGAGAAGATCTCATCGCGAGATAAGCCTGCACACATTACTCGGGGCAAGGTTCTCTAAAGGGCGCCATTCGAGGCCCGCCACTTTCCTAGTGATGACGAAAACACACTGAAGCCAATGAGCTCCAAGTATCGCTACAATGTCGAACAAAAAGCAAATAATTCGCATAACTTAGGCGCAACATTAATACGTGGGCATTAGGTGGTGTGTTTCTGTACTCAAATACACATTGTACGTAATTTTAAAGACCACAGTGTTTCTTAGGCTGCGCTGAAAATTCAAACCTATGCACGAAAGAGTGCTGGCAGACGTCTTTCATCTCTCGACGACGTTTTCAGTGAAGCACGCAGACACACGGCTATTTTTGTGATCTATTTGTGCGTACTATTACGGATGTCGTTTTTGTCGCTGAAACGAAGGGAGTAATGTTTTTTTTTGCCCTGGAAAAAACTACCGACATGCACGGTCAATCACCGTCATCCAAGAATAGAACATGTCATAAGCTTCCTATTTTACCCCGCAATTGTGCCTATATGCATGCATTTACTTTGATGAGGTTATCAACTTTGAGCCTTTGGATATATTGTCTAGTAGTATTGTGAACTAGAAGTTATGCTTTTTTACAATTTGTTGGTTTAGATTACTTGTTAGATGTTAATCTTTGCCCATTTTATTTTCAGTGCAACGAAAATAGCGTCAGAAACTCTTGTCCACAAGGCTGCGCTTGCCGTGTCTTGAATGAACTGAAGCCGCCTTTATATATGTGTTTCCAGGAAGGAAAGACACAACCAATGGGATTTTCTGAAGTTTGAGCCACCTTTATATCTCTGTCTAATATTTTGTCGCATGAAGATTGAAGCTTGATTAAATTTATTGTAGACCTCATGGTATTGCACTTTGTACAAGTGGTTTATTGTTTTCCGCACCAGCTGCAACCTATCTGCACCAAGTATCCCAATGAAATTTCATGTTCATGGACTCACGTTGCTTTAGAAACTTTAAGAGTTCAAGCTACTGGAAGTAATTTATTGTCCTGAATTCAGTGCTTGCAGAAAAACCACCCTAACAGACAAACATCTGCGCCTGACCCGGTAAGCAAGAGCCTAGGAGCAGAATGCACGCACAATAAGACAACCTATTTTAGAGCACGCAGATTCCGTAGGAAAGTCAGCGAGAATCAACTGCAGAGTGGTCTCTTTGGCTTCTCAGTAATTAGATAATAATGACTGCGGGCGGGTGGCGACAACGAAGAGCAGAAAAAAATGAAAGATATGTTTGGCATGAGGAGCAGAGTAAAAGATGAACTGCTTGGTCGTAGTCCCGTGTTGTTAGTAGTCGTCATTCAAGATTGGACGAGTGGCGCGGTGCTGCACGACATAAAAGCGGATGATGGACGTAATAAAGCTCTGTTGCAAGTTCAGCGCTCGTGCTGTGCACTGTGTCCCTTCGTCCTCGTGGTCTTGTTGCGCTGTGTTTTCCTGGTTAAGTCAGAGATTCTTCTTGGTGCACTTCATTTCACTTTAGATTCTTAAAGACTACTGAATAGGGCAATGTATAAGAGGTACTATTACAGAACAGCCCGAAGACGTCAATTGAAAACACACTTTGTTGTATTGTCCAAGGAGCCTAAAGCAATGGTAAGGTATAATGGGACAGTTGTAGGAAAGACTCTTCCCTTCTGATGCTTCATGGAAACAAAAATTGGCAGATCCCACGTACAAAGGGAATCGATGATATGCGAAGCACAAATGATGAAAGATGATATGTCAACTAAATCAGTACAACGTTACGCGGTGGAGGTAAATTATGCCGCACATGGCTTTCATGTCATCATTATCATGTCTGAACGTATCATTTGGCTTCTTAATCTATTCGCGTCACGCCATACCAAACTTCGTATATGTGGAGCTAGTAAAACGGCCGCGAGCGTGCTATGAGCGTAACATGTCAAGATTTCATTGACACGCATGCCATGATTGTCATGTTTGGACCTGTTATTTCCATTCGTCGTCCATTCTCATCAGATAATAACAAGTTTAGTATATGTGGAGCTAGCAAAACGGCCGCGAGTGCATCGAGAGCGTGGTATCTTGTCATGTTCTTACATGTCAGGCGTGTGAAGATTTTCATGTTTGCACCATGGCAGTCACATACCTTCATCGTTCATTCGGGTCCTTTCATACCAACTTTTTTTATACGTGAAGCTAGTGAAACGGCAACGAGCGCATCATGAAGGGCTCAGCATAATCCAACGTTACGTTGACGCGTGTTAGCGAAACCTGGGCGCTCTATCATCTGATGACAGGCACGACTGGCGCGAGCAGCGTTCGTCAGCGTGGCCCGTTGGCAATTGGTGCGAAATGCTACAGGCTGCGTTTTGCGCCGGCACTGACAGCACTGACTCAGACAGCACTTTGTCAGCCCCTCTTCTTCACGGAAGTGTGCCGGGCGCACTTTAACGCGCATGCGTTAAAGCAACGCAGTGCGTCGTACACCTGTGAGTAAGTGCAAGGCAGATCGGCGCCAAGCGCCATGGCATCGCCGGTGCGACGCCACAAAACGCCGGCGCGCACGCACACCTGGTCACGAGGAAGTGTATTGACGCATTGAGTGTGGCATGTAGTTATGTTCTTACATGACATGCATCTCATGATTATCATGTTTGCACCAGTCACATACCTTTGCAATCCGCTCACGTGGCGTAATACCAAATTCGGTACATGCGAAGCTAGCGAAACGGCCGCGAGCGCATTATGGACGCAGCATGTAGTGATATTGTTACATGGCACGCATCTCTTGATTGTCATGTTTGCACTAATCAAAAACCTTCGTAATCCGTTCACGTCCCGTCATACCGAATCCAGTATACGCAAAGCTAGCGTAATGGTCCTGAGCGCATCATGAGCATGGCATGTAGTCATGTTGTTACATGACATGCATCTCGTGATTATTATGTTGGCACCAGTCACAAACATTCATCATCCATTCACGTCCCATAATACCGAATTCGGCACAGGCGAAGCTAGCCATACGACCACGAGTGCATTAGGAGTGTGGCATGTAGTCATGATGTTACAAGCCCGGCATGTCACGAATTTAATGTTAGGGTCTGTCGCTTCTGTTCGCCTTGCAGTCAGCTCATAACATAATAGTTTCGCAAGATGTCGTGAACGAAAGCTCCGCAAAAGCAGCAAGACCATGAAATGTAAATTACGACATTTATGATATACTTTATGATTTTAATGGTATGACTAATCACTTATTCTCGCCGTGCAGTCATGTTTTGCCATTCCATTTTTGGTATCGATACCCTTATCGATACTGCCAGGAGAGCTATAAGCCGTAGGTGGATAGATAGATAGATAGATAGATAGATAGATAGATAGATAGATAGATAGATAGATAGATAGATAGATAGATAGATAGATAGATAGATAGATAGATAGATAGATAGATAGATAGATAGATAGATAGATAGATAGATAGATACGCTCAAAGTCACCGCAGTTTGCTAAGAAATGCTCCGCTTTAAAAAAATACGAGAATATGGGACAGTTCTGGCCATACTGCATCCCACGTGCCCTCATTGCAGCTTACAGGAAATCCATCACAGGGTTCGAAACACTATGCATACTCTACGCTGGCGTTATTATACTGTCTCTAGAGCTGTCGATTTGCAGACTATCCCAGGTGCTCCTAATAAAGCGGAAGCCTTGGGAGTCTCATCAAATGTGAAAGTTGAGGGTTGGCATGTCTTCACTACCAATGCTAATCTCATTACTAGATCACGTCACAGTGTTGTGATATCATGTTGACGCCACTTATCATGTTACGTCACCAGATGGCGTCATCACTTCGTCAGAAGTGAGCCGATCACGGAGGCAATACCAAACCAGCTATCGTGCAGGAAGCGTGGAGCACCTCTGGTCGCAGTGCTTTCTCTGGGTGCGGGCAAGAATCAATAAATAGACAGAGCAGAAAAACAGATCTTGGCTTTTCCTGTTCGAATCACCTTACGCAAACGCATTAGAGGTATGTGAGCTCTTTTCAACATTCTATTTCTTAACTTCTATTTCTGATTGTAACATTCAGCCTTCAACGCAGGGTCGATCTCTACTATACCTTTACTGATAAGTTCAACCACTGTCCTTTGCTTTTCAAGGTGCTTTTACGTCCCCTATTTGATCACCTGGTATGAGTTTCAATATTTGCCAGAATCTCACAGCTAATCGCAAAAAATCGTGGCCTGTCTTCTCTCTTCTTTATCTCACCTATCTCGAAACAAGAATAAAGGTAATAAGAATTTATGTGCCCGGTTTACGAATAATTGTGCGCACACAGCTGCCAGAAAGATTTCGTGGGTTGTGATTCTAGACCAGATCAGGCAAAGTGCGCCAAAAATGCTGCCTGCAATAGGCCGTCTTCTTTTCTTTAGACGGGACTGGGAACTAACAAACATGCAAATATAAGTTGTTTTGCGCACTAATACTATAATTAAGGAATGCAACGCTTGATCACTAAAACCGGTCTATCTACTTTGTCCAAAGAACACCGGAGCATTCGGCACAGGCTGTGACAACAGTCATGCAGAGAGAGTGTCCTACATATTGTCCTGCCTAAAACGCGCCGTTGTTGGTGGTCACCTCAGCTTGATGGCATGCTTACATTCTTTTGCAGCATTGGTGAGTGCCGCTGCAACAAAGCCTTACCGGGGCTAACCACTGGACGGCAAAACCGACGAGAGAGCTGGTCGTCATGTTTTTTTATGTAGAACTCGCGTTGCAAATAGAGAAGTGGCCAGGGTAACGATGCGCCATGTTGGCCCAGTTCTTTCAACTTTGTTCTCTAACAATCTGTGCAGAAAGAAACGGAAGGGACTACTATGTCAGGAGCTTCCATTCGTGTATGGATGTTCAAGGGCTGTCCATTTTTAAAAATAAAATATTTCTTGACATTAGATAACGCCCACTTGCTGGCTGAAGTGTCATGTTCGTGGATGATTGCGGTTGGTACTACAAAAAAATGGTATACTCTGGCATCTTCAATTGGTATACTCTGCCAGCTTCAATTCAAAAATTTAGACGACGGTTTTACTTGAGTTTTCTGATAAAGTAACTGTACTATGTTCGTGCTCCGTTCCAAATGGTAACGCATTGTTCTAAGGTGGTGTTTATGAAAAAAGTGTTGAACTACCCGGATCTTGTCTAACAAAAATAACTAAAAACAAAACGCATGCAGTTAATAAAAATATTTTAATAATGACAATTTCCGTAAATTTTGAAGCACGCGCTTAGTACACTTGGTTATAACACGTGAGAATTTTCATACACACTGTTATACGTGTAAACAAAAATTTTTCACATGCCAGGTTAATTAGCGATTCCATAGCTAACTACTTACACCAGATATGAACAGTCTGCAGAAATATGCAGCAACTACGTTACTGGATCTTGTCCATTTGTGTTGCTTCTAGTAATGTTATGTCTCAACAGTGTGCGGAAAGGAAAGTTACAGCATTGCACATTCCTTTCAATTGCTCCAGACACTGAGAAACAGATTGTGCTTCAGAACATGATAAAGTACTTCAGGGACGAAGCTCCTTAAAGTCGACTTTTCTTCATTGTCGGCGTTGTGCGCCGTAGGCGCCGTGGGCGATCATGATTATCAGGATGGCGATGAAGGACAAGCGCGTTCCAAACCACGCATTCTCTTTCTGTCATCACGGCACTGCATACGCAAGGTAAACACTATACGCCAAGAATATGGCAATAATGATGGTGAACAGAACGACAATGGTCACCATAGACAAAGACTGGTTTGTGGAGCAGATGACATCTTCATGTATTTCACGATGTATTCCGTATTGCTTGAAACAACCACCAGCAGGGGAACGTGCACAGACCTCATCTTTGTTACCCTTACGCTATATTCGATACCAAAAGGCACTAATAATCAAGGCGAAACCACAATCACAACTCCACACAACATGATCAATGAATACTACCCCACTTTGTCACCGATTTATATGCGCGAGCCGAGCGGTCCATTTCATGGGTGATTTACAGTAACGCCGCATGGTACCTGTGCTTTGATCAATCATCATCAATCACTTCGTGGATCCACCGCTGGTTTTCGCAGGCGTTAAAGCACTCCATTTTCCATGGGCGTTAAAAAATTCTCTAATGTTGTTGGTGCGCTCGATCCAAAGTTTCGAGACGTTGACGTGTGCTTGGCAACGTTGACTTTTCTTCTGGAACGTTGGAACTGATATTCTTAACGCGCGCCTGCTTCTTACCTTTTTATCTGATCCAGACAAAAAGGAGGAGAGGCCACCTTCAGTGAAGGTTCAAGTGGAGGAGAGCCTGCTGTGTCGAACTGTGTGGGTCAAAGAAACGACTGGAACATATTGAAGGAGCATTGGTTCCCACTGTCGTGGCCTCTGAGGAAGTACATTTTGACTACACCCTACTTTACACGTGGTTGCTATTATTCGCATCTGCAGTAGCTGAGACGATATTCAGAAGCATATGTCGGTGACCTCACTCTTGAGTCGACTTACTCTGGCTCACTCAGAGTCAGATAAACCAGCCATTATGAATCTGGGTGAGTCTGGGTGAATAAATACAAAAAGCAAAAAATTACAAACAGCGAAAAAGCCTTCAACGAGATTCATCAGCGTCTCCAAAAAGCACTAGTCCTCGGAGACTTTGACGATGACGCCTGGAAATGGTACACACCGATGCCAGAAATGTCGGCTTAGGAGATGTACTCGTACAGTGGCAGGATGGTGTCGAACGAGTCATTGCTCAGGTGAGAAGAACCCTTACCCGATCAGAGAAAAGTGCTCTCCACTAAAAAGAATGCCTTGCGGTAGTGTGGACCATTATGAAATTCCGCCCATATTTGTACGGTGTCCTTTTAAATGTTGTCAGCGGCCAAGACTCCCTTGGTTGGCTGACAAGTTTCAAAGACACATAATGACGGTTGGCGTGCTGGAGCCTATAGTTTCAAGAATTTGACATGACAATTGTCTACAAGTCGGTAAAGTGACATTGAGAAGCCTATTGCCTTTCTTGTGCGCCATAGGAACCTGCGAAGGCAGATGGCGACGCCGTGTTTGTAGGCGTTCTGAACACGACTACTGTCACACAACTAAAACGAGGCGACCAGGAACTTGAACCCGTCATTCGTTTTTTTTTCTAAGATCGCACTACAGCTGCGCCAATACTGTTTGCTTGAGGGCTATCATCGTATTGCTTTCGCAACGACATCTTGTACAAGGTGAACTTCACGTCGAACGGTAGTGGCTATTCACTTGTCGTCCCAACTTCTCTGAGAAGTGAAGTATTACGGGCATGCCATGATGAACCAACATCCGTCCACATTAGTTGCTTGCGAATACTATGCAGAGCGAAGCAGAAATACTACTGGCCAAGACTGACGACGGTTGTTCCACACTACGTCTGCACGTGCATTGATGCTTAGTGCAGGAAAGTCCCACACGTCAGTGCAGCAGGACTCCTCCGCCCAATTGACGTACCGCGTCTTCCATCTTTTAGATCCATTGCTAACCTTCTCTGTGGGTCGCAGATGCATTAAAATAGCCACCGACTACCACCTCACTCGTTATGCCGAAACCAAGGCTCTGGAGAGAGGTACGGCAAGTGAGGTAGCGCAATTTTTCGTTGAGAGTGTGGTGCGATGGCATGACGCTCCTTCAATGGTGATGACAGATAAGCGAACTGCATTCACTGCCGAACTATTGCAAGCACGTTTAAGACTTAGTGGCACATCTCACCGGCGAACAATGGCGTATCATGCACAAACCAACGGTTTGACGGAGCGCGCTCAAGCAAGACAGTTGCGGATATGCTCTGGTTGTACGTCGATGTGGAGCATAGGAACTGGGTTGAGATCTTGTAATGCGTCACCTTCGCATATAACATAGCGCATCAAAATACAACACGAATTACGCCATTTAGTCTTCCTCATTGTCGTGAAGTTACAACTATGCTAGATGATACGTTGCCACATGAGTGGCAAGGCGACGAAAGCGATGTTGATTACATCACCCAGCTTGCTGAAAAAGCACGGAAACCTGCGCGTATACGTATTCGTCGTCATGAATACAACAATTTAAGACGTTACAACTTTCGTCACCAACCAGTCTAATACGAGTCGGGAGAGAAAGTATGCGTCTGGACTCTAATTTGGCGTCGTGGCATCTCGCAAAAACTGTTAAGACAACCAGGCTGTATGAAATTCTGCGACGCCTCAGTGACGTTAGATATGAGGAAGTTCCGGTTAGCGCACACTGCTCAAGACGTCTGAAGCATGCATCAGAATTCGTGCACATGGTTCAAATGGAAACATATTTACCGAAATACGAATACGGCCAGTGGATACGAACGCCTGTGATTATGAAGCATCTGGACGATGCTTTCTTCGGAAGAAGGCTGATGTCATGATGTCACGACTTAAAGCCATGAGGATGACTGAGGACAAAGAAGTAACGAGCACGAGCAACAACCACTACTGAGATCTAAGGAAGACGACGTTGAGTCTTCTGTTCTTGTTTGCGACATTTGAATACAGACCATGGTTTTTTTCTTGGCACACCACAGTCTTGTATTCCAGTTAATTTCTGCGTTACGAATATATATATATATATATATATATATATATATATATATATATATATATATATATATATATATATATATATATATATTCGCTTGTTATGCCCATTTATTTACATTGGCATGCTTTGAAGTTCACCGAGATGTTTCTGAAATTAGCGACATAACGCACAACAAGAAATATAAGTGACCCCTAGTTTTAGAGAAGATACTTGCACATGTCGATAAACGGGTGGATAAAAAATTCACGTTGAACTGGCTATGAAAAGGACTGGAAACATGATGTGCAAACTCAAGATGTGGCCCAAAATTGCTACTCAAAAAACCGTATTTCACACAAGAAAGCTCATCTGTGTGATAAAGATATGTTTTTAAAATGAGTTCTTACGCCAATAGTTTAGAAATCATGGTTATTTTAGGCATGCGGCTTTCAGCTGCTCGTGCAAAATGCAAAGCCAAGCAACCAGGCGAAAATTCCCAGGGCACACTACACAATAAGCTCTCTTTAGTTTTTAATATCCACTGCGTGCTCTTTTATTCTGATTTTAAGATATTTTGAGGTAAATTACAAAGCTTAATTTTTTCCAGAAATTAGAGCAACCAAACTTGAGAAATGAAGTAAAAAATTGCACTAGATCTCGCTAAAAGTAACCATGTGTAGGTGCGAAACAGCGGGTGCTTTAGCTTACACTTGCGGCGACATTGACACTGGCACTCGTCATGGCGTTGCGCAGGAGAGAAAACGTGGGGAGGGGCAAATCCCGCAGTGATGGACCGGTGATTCTTCCTAGATCCTGCCAATCACTGCTAATGGGCAATGAGAGACAGACGTCACCAATGGCCGCGGGGACTTGTAGCTCGCTTTTAGATAACACGCACACTGCGAATGTTGATTGTTCAACAACGTATAGGAGTAATCTCCCACCGGCACTACCTTGGAGGTTAAGATTCGGTGCCTCTATGTACGGCGTGGCCAATAAACGGCTGGGCAGCATGAGCAGTTGGTTGTAGTGGTGAAGCTCCTCTTTGTCTAAACCTGTATCAGGCGTAACCAGTAGTATAACACAGACAGATAGAGAAACATATAGACGAGCAGACGGACGGACGGATGGACGAATTGACGGACTGATGCACAGACGGACGGACGGATGCAAGGACTAACGGACGGAAAGACACAGGGGCGGAAAGGCAGACAGACAGAAACAGACGATGGCAGGGCGCTTCGCCCCACTCATCATCATTCACTCGGTGAATAGCCTGTGATTTTTCTACATGTGGAGCATGTTATACTAGGGACTAGTAATGCGCCGTTGCCGTCCGAAGTTTCC